TTCATCAAGAGTCACGCCTAGATTTTTTATAGTTGCACATACTTTTATAATTTCACCATTTATTGATATAGTCGAATATTTCTAAATTTGATTTTTAAATTATTTAGGAGAGAATATAATTACTTTTGATTTTTCTGGATTTACATATATTCTAAGATCATGCATTTTTACATACATGTCGATCAATTTCAAATCTTCATTAATTTGAGCCTCAGCAATTATTATAATGACAGTATTAAAGTTATTGTATAACTGCCAGTCATCCGCAAAACCTGAATATTGGAGTGTTTAACAGCCTTATCAAGATTGGAGATATATAAAATCAAAAGAAGTGGCCTTTGAGGCACTCCTGTTGATATTAAAGCCTTTTGAACAATTAATTTTGACACAACCCGAATGAGTGTCTAATTGTTTCCAAATCCTGGTCCTATGAATCTTGTCTCAGCGGGAATCTCTTGGTGAACAAGAATCTTTTTAAAATCGACAATTTTTAAATTTACTACATACCATCAATGCATAAAAACTCGGTAAAACAGTCGCCCAGTATCTAAATTAACGTGAAAATCTTGTTATACAAGACCTGAAGAATATTTCGGGATTAGTTTATTTAAATTGGCGAACTTTTGGTCTTCGCAAATTGTACTCTTCAGACAGTTGAATCAAATCTTAGTTTTGCAGCGAGTCACAAAAGATCGGAGATCGGCCCATCCGACGAATTCGAAACATCGTATTTTGTCGAAGCGATGCTCAAAGACATCACTCAAATTATCAGTAAGTAGTTTGAATTGAGTGAAAACTCTGCTGAGCTCATGTAGGACCATTACTCATAAGCTGAGAGCTACAGAAATTCAACATCCATTCTTATGTTATTAATCTTTTACATGAGAAAGAAACATTTCATCAATCTGAAGATGAAGCGTTAACCTTCACTGAAAACGGGGCGAAGGCGGACCCAAATGTATGGGTACTGATCAACGTACAAGGAATTGTTTTTATACCTTATACAGGGAGCTTCAATCTTATAATGGGTGATTTTTTTGCTAGTATCTTTTTGGCAACACTGTTTTTGACAGATGACGCGTGAATCGTGTCTTGTGTCATTGTCAAACTTGTTCAGTTTGGTCTATAATTTAACCATGAATCGACTTACGAACGAACAACGCTTGCAAATTATTGAATTTTACTATCAAAATTCATACTCGTTTAAGAGACTGCATCAAGCACTGCTTCCAATTTATGGGCAATTTGGTCGGACTACTGAGGGAGCTATTCGGAAGCTTGTGACTAAATTTCGAACCCAGTTTACATTATTGGACATTAAACCACCAACACGCAGACGTAGAGTGAGGACTGAAGAAAATATTGCGGCTGTATCCGCCAGTGTTAGGGATGACCGTGAAATGTCGATTCGCCGCCGTTCGCAGCAATTGGAAAATTTTGCGACAGGATTTGGGTGTAAAACCTTATAAGATACAGCTGGTGCAAGAATTGAAGCCACACGACCTCCCACAACATTTGGTGAATGGGCGCTGGCAAAGTTGGAGGAAGATCCACATTTTTATCGAAAAATTGTGTTCAGCGACGAAGCTCATTTCTGGTTGAATGGGTACGTTAACAAGCAAAATTGCCGCATCTGGAGTGAAGACCAGCCAGAAGCATTGCAAGAGCTACCAATGCATCCCGAAAAAATCACTGTTTGGTGTGGATTATGGGCCGGTGGCATCATTGGGCCGTACTTCTTCAAATACGACAATGGCCGGAACGTAACTGTGAATGGCGAGCGCTACCTACAAACTTTTTTTGCAAAAAAAGGAAGAGCTGGACTTTGCTGACATGTGGTTTCAACAAGACGGTGCCACATGCCACACCGCACACGAAACAATGGCCCTATTGAGAGGCGAGTTCGGTGAACAGTTCATCTCACGTTTGGGGCCCGTCAATTGGCCGCCTAGATCGTGTGATTTAACGCCGTTGGACTATTTCTTGTGGGGCCATGTTAAGGCTAATGTCTACAGGGATAAACCAGCAACGATTGACGCACTGGAAGCCAATATTGAAGCATTTATTAGTGAGATACCGGCCGATATGTTGGAGAGAGTGTGCCAAAATTGGACCTTGCGCATGGGCCATCTAAAGCGGAGCCGCGGCCAACATTTACATGAAATAATCTTTAAACATTAAATTATATCGACCGTTCTATCGACTCAAATAAAGATCTAATCGTTTTTTCAAATTTTTTGTGTTTTTTTTTTAAATCAAATCCTATACCTCTTAAAAAATCACCCGTTATTAATCATGTCTCATTCTAACTTCTGTGATGTCATCTAGGACAAATGTTTAACTAAATTGTTCATATACCTTTATTAATAAATGTGGTCACAAACAAGCTACTTGGTAAGCAAATTAAAAAAAACGCCTTCATGGTTTAATTAGCAAAATTATGAAACATGATACTGAAAACATGACTCTGCAATTGCCAAGCACCGCTGTCACCAGTTCATACAGAATTATGTTCGGCACAAGTTAGATGATCTGTCGATCAAGTCAGTCAACCAGGTCCACACAATTAGACCCATTTAACAACGTTGGGACCCAGAAATTTCTTCCCTGTCCTCCCGAAAACAATTACCATCTGGCAACGTTGCTAAGCCTCGGCAGCCAGCCACCACTTAGAGTGATAGATCGAGGAAATCTATTGTGTGTGCAAGATGTCTAATAGATGAGTCAAATTAAAAAGGTTGAAAACTTATAAATATATTAACGCCAAAAATTGGATTTTCAAAGACTACAAAGCATGGTAGTAACATTGTGTGAAACTTTCATCAAAATCCTTATGGTCTGCTCAAGTTATAAAGGGGTCAAGGACAGAGAGACCGACAGAAAAACAATCAGACAGACTGACGGAAATGTGTGGCATGGTACCCGGTACTTTTGTTCAGTGTCTATGGACGAAAATACAATCTAAGTGGTGATATTGCCAGGCTGCCAACAGGTCATCATATCGTGCGATATGGATTGTACCGTAGATCGGTACTTGGTGCTGAAGTAACGATACTACCGCTAGTACCGGTACTACGACTAGATATAAAAACGGTCAAGTCATCATTTACAAAACATCACAGAACGCTGAACTGGTACGTACTCCTAATATTCAAGTATTGCTAAAATATATAGGGTTGTCCAATAGGGACGCAGGAAAGTAAACGTCAATTTGACATAGACGCCATCTTTGTTTTCTGTCACCGACATGTCATTTTGTTAGTTGAATGTTTACCATTGATCGCTATGGAGTCGTATTTGATTGAAGACCGCACTAAAGTTATTCAAGAGCACTACAAAATGGTGCAAAAATAAAAAACACGTTTCGCGCGCTTCGTGAACATTTCGGTCGCAACAACCGCCCAAACGAAACAACCATCGGTCGTCTGGTGCGTACATTCGAGGCAACAGGTTCTGTGGCAAATCTGCCAGGCGCTGGCCGGCCAAGGAGCGTTCGCACACCGGAAAATATTGCTGTTGTGAAGGAGAGTGTGAGAGATGATCCGAAACAATCAACAACGCGTCGATCCCAAGAATTGGGCATTTCGAGTACCAGTTTGCTCCGCATTCTCCACAAGGATTTGAATGTGCACGCCTACAAGATCCAATTGACGCAAGAGCTGCGTCGGGCCGACCATTTTTCGCGCCGAACGTTCTCAGATTGGCTCCTTGAACACCGCCAAATTGATGTCAATTTTTCATCAAAAATCATGTTCAGCGACGAAGCGCGTTTCACTTTGAATGGGACGGTAAACAAGCAAACTGCCGCATCTGGGCGAACGAAAATCTCCGTGAGTATCAAGAGCAGCCGATGCATCCTCAAAAAGTGACTGTGTGGTGTGCATTGTGGTCAAAAGGCATCATCGGACCTTACTTTTTCGAAAATGCGGCCGGGGACGCCGTTACGGTCAACTCTGAGCGATATCACGTGATGATAGAGGACTATTTTTTTGCCGCTTCTTGAAGGAATCGATATGGACGATGTTTATTTCCAACAAGACGGTGCAACATGCCACACAACCAACGTCAATATCCATCGATTGCAGTCCTTCTTCGGTGATCGCGTGATTTCGCGCAGAGGAAATGTGCCATGGCCACCAAGATCGTGCGATTTGACTTCCTTGGACTTCTTTTTATGGGAATATTTGAAAAGCAAAGTCTACGTCAACAAACCAGCCACCCTCCAAGAAATCAAAAACAACATCATTGCCGAGATAAATGCCATAGAACCGACCATGTTGCAAAATGTCACTGAAAATTTCGACCATCGCGTGGACGTCTGTAAATCCAGTCGTGGTGAACATTCGAGCGATATTATTTTTCATACATAAATGGTATAAATGAACCTTCAAAATAAAGTACCCAACTTGATTTGAATGTCAATCTTTCTTGTTTTAATATGCGTTTACTTTAGTTGAAGCTTGTTACTCATTGCATAGTCAGCAGTGGCCAATGACGATGCAGCATCGCGCCGTGCACGCAACACCGATTCGAATTATGAGAACATATTACTTTTATTATTTGATTTTCTTGTTGTTATCGGGAGGCTAATACAACCTCCTACCTCTACAACCCCCAACCCTCCAACTTTCAACCCTTTCAAATTTTTTAACGAAAAATGATCAGGAGCATCTGAAACGTGAAAAAACGGAGTTTAAGCGATTTTTATTTTTTTTGTGTTTCTGTGCTTAGCTCCGCCACTATTAAGCACAGTAGTAACCTTGTGTGAAAATTTCATCAAAATCTGAGCGGTGCTTCTCAAGTTATAGGCAGTTATAAAATTAGCGGACACACAGAGACAGACAGACCGAATGAAATGAGTGAAAGTTTTGCGTGATGTAGATGTCATATAACATTCAAAAAACATAATATCTCAATGTCGAAAATTTTCACGATGACAATAATTCCCCGAGGGAATAACCTAAAAGATTGCCCGCATATTCTAAGGCATCCTGTAAAAGTAATGTATTTTTTCAATAATCACTCACCAGTTTCGGTGTCGATTGTGTAGTCTAATCCTGCCCATGGATCTGGATCTTCTTCCGGTTCCTCCTGATGAACAAATTCCGAAATGAAAAAATACACAGTTCCAGAATATTTGCTTGCAAAAGCTGATTCCATAAACAAAAATTGAGCGATTCACACGAGTTCCCTATCTGAGCTCAGAGATAGCTGATAAACAGATAGCGTGTTGATAGAAATTTAATTATCTATAAACACACGTGGATTCCCGAGTAACTATTTCAATTCTTAGATAAATGTGTCTATTAATTTTGCGAGATTATTACAGAAAGTCTATATTGTAGTTAGAAATTCATAGATAAGAACATGAGAGCCAGCGACGAATGAAAAATACACTGATTCAAGAAGCTGCAAAGATGCACTGGGAAAGTTGAGTGACATCTTTGGGCGAGTATAAAATTATTTTTCACTTTTTGTATCATTTATTAATTATAAATAATTACCTTAACATCTTTATCTTTGTTGATTGCCTGTAAGGTCTTGAGCTTCTCGATATCATCTGTGCTATGCGTGGCATTTTCAATTTCCACATCTGGCTTTTCAGGTTTTGGAGCTGCATTTTCAACAGAAAATCCAAGATCAACATCCTGCTTCCATAAGACTTCTATCAGATCCATATCCTGAAACGAAAATAAAAAAGGATCATAGTCAGAATATCCATAAAAAAGAAAGGATACATTTGCTTTATTATTAGTTGTGATCTAGTCTGTGAATTTTTCCACATGGCAAGTGGGCGATGTAACTCTGTTTCATTTAGAAGGGTACGATACATTGTATAATTTTGGTAACCATAATCAAAACGATGGAGTGATGGTGTATGTACGAAACAATCTGCCTTATAACCATAACATATTTACAATCAATAATAAACTAAAAGGTATCAATCTAACAATGCAAATTGAAAATCGTAGAGTCAAAATTACATGTGTTTACCGACCACCATCTTCAGATCCTCAAACATTTATAAGAGACATAGATGAACTATTAAAAAACAATGAAAACAATCACCTTCATAATCAAATATTTTAGGCACATCAATATAAACATTTTAGAGGAAAATTCTATGGTGAAAGAATATTTAAACATTTTATCAAGTAATGTTTTTTTATCATACATAAATAAAGTAACACGACCCACCAGTAAAACCTGCATTGATCACTGCTTTATAAAGGATATTTCCAATATTTTTTCTTACATGCCTATTATCTATGAAACCGATATTACAGATCATTATTCCACTATATTATTGATATCTTCACAAAATAAAAATCAGAACTGCCCAAGGACAAAAAATGAAAGAAACCTTGAATACAAATATTTCACTGACAACTCAAAATTAATATTTAACGCACAAACGGAATCGTGGGACGAAATTTTTTTAACAAATTCTTTAGACGAAGCTACAAATTTATTAATACACAAAATTCAAAAAGTAATTGAAGTTAGTACTAATAAGGTTAAAATAAGTCACAAGGAAAAAAGCAGAAATGATTGGATGACCAAAGGACTAATAAAATCTGCAAACGAAAAAGAAAGACTGTATAAAATCATGAAATATTTACCCACGAAAGAAAATATAGATCATTATAATCAGTATAAAAACAAATTTATAGAACTTTTGAGAAAAGCAAAAAAAATTACTATATAAAACAATTGAATAATAATTCACATGACTCTAGACACCTATGGTCCACTGTCAATGATATATTCAATAAGTCATCCTATTCAAAAAACAATATTAATGAAATAAAAACAAAAACAGGACAGAAAACAGACAATATTCAACAAATACTTATGTGATAAGTTCATAGAATTTTTCACGAATATAGGAGGAAACTTAGCAAATGATATCAAACAAAATGCTGATATTCATCTGCATGAAACAAGACTGAATAATTCATTTGTATTAACTGAAGTAGACTATCAGGATGTTTTCAATGCCATTATGACTCTAAAAAATAAAAAAAGCCCTGGAGTTGACGAAATTAGAGGTGAACATCTAAAGATACTGGCCAAACAAATAACAGAACCACTTGCTTATATCATTAACAAATCCTTCCAATCTGAAGTATTTCCATCAGCTTTCAAGACAGCAATCATCATACCTATCTATAAATCTAATGATAATACGGACGTCACTAACTATCGACCTATTTCACTTATATGAAGTTTAGCTAAAGTTTTTGAGAAATTACTCCTTAATAAAATGATTAATTTTCTTAATAAATTCAAAATTCTAAATTCAAATCAATATGGTTTTATAGCGGGCAAATCTACAACAGATGGGGTATATTAAGTATAGTAGATGAAATAACCCAAAATATAGATGGAAAAGTACCATCGATATGCGTATTTGTGGACTTACAAAAAGCGTTTGACACAGTTAACCACAATATACTTTTGGAAATCTTAGAAAGAATAGGTTTTCGTGGAAAGATGTATACTTTAATGGAAAATTATTTATCAAATAGACCGCAATCAGTAAAATTATTAAGCTCGTATAGTAAAGAAAAGTTTGTTAAATGTGGTGTTCCACAAGGTACAATTTTGGGTCCTCTGTTATTCAATATTTATTTAAACGATATATTCAAAATTAACAGTACTGGTAAAATAGTCAGTTTTGCAGACGATACTGCTATACTCTATAAAGGTAAGGATTGGAACGACTTAAAAGATATTATCCAAAATGACTTTTGCAAAATTATTCAGTGGTTTAATAACCGAAAATTAACAATTAACTTTACTAAAACTTATTTTTTACCATTTTCATCTCTATCTAATCATCTACCAAAATATAACCACCATCGGTTTAAGGTAAATGATAAAATATAAAAATCAATAGAGTTAATGATACAAAATATTTAGGAATTTATCTAGATCCCCACTTGACATGGGATGTACATATTTCTCACATACTAAAGAAAATTAGATTCATAGCATATAAAATAAAATTTCTAACCGGTATATTAACTGAATATTATCTACGAATAAGATATCAAGCTTTAGTCGAGCCACACATAACATATGGTATAGTAGTGTGGGGTGCTGCATGCACGACATACTTTAACGATTTAGATGTACTTCAAAGAAGAATTTTAAAATCAATGTTAGGCAAATCAAAATTATACCCAACTAATGACTTATATAATGATGCACAAGTATATGATACTAAACAACTTTACTTCTTACATACCATCACTCATTATCACAAAACTATTAGTGAACACGACATAATTAAACATAATCATAAAACCAGATATAAATTACGCGCAAAAAATGTTCCTAAACCAAACAAATCCCTAATGAAACGATGTCACCTGTATATAGCTCCAAAATTGTACGAACATTTACCAAATAATTTAAAACAATTACGCAATAACTTAGGCTTCAAAAAAAAATTAAAAAATTTTATTAACACGATTGGGAGAAATCAAATTAATAAAATAATCTCAATATTACACAATAAATGCTCTACCATTCTTACCAATAATTTCTTTTTTCTCTCTATTAGCAACGCGCTAATGAGCTTCGCTGTCTAGGCGACTTCTATCTCTTTCTCACATATGTGTCTATATACGTCAGACAAATTGGTTTTCCCTGTATACAGAATACACACATTTTATATGGTCGCTTATATGGATTCACCGGTATTCTGGGCTCAACCTTTGTAGACGCTCAAGTTTAAATAGTAGACAACATACCGAGGTTGAGGAGTAAACCATCATTGGTCAATATTTTTACGTACATACTGAGACACATAGTGCCAAGAGGTATAATGTGTGAATTCAAACGAGGTATGTATAGAATTTGTTTTCCGGTTAGTAATGAAAAAAAAGATGATATGTTTTGCTTTATCCGGGTTTCATCTTCATTTGGTAATTTGTAAGTTTATTTCATCATATGATTACGGAATTAAAAAATGATTATCACGATCCACTTAAGATGTGCAAATATTGATTATTTTTTATACGTGCAAATGGGATGAGACTGTATTCAATAGATAAACTGTTATCAACTATGTCCCGTTTTTTATTTCCAAAAAATTCGAATCGAAAGCTTCTCTTGAATGCAATCAAATCAGTCTATCCATGTGATTCGAAAACCTATAGTTACTATACAGGGTGTTTCTTAATTGAATGTCAATATGTAAGATAGCGATCTTTCTAAATCCAAACACCCAGTTTAAATGGTTTTATTTTAATAAAATTTTGTATAAGTACTTAATGAAGCATAATAACTAAATGATAAAAATTTCAAAATGATTGCACTGCTTTAGAGCCCTTTGACCTTTAATAATGTGTGGATGCACCCTGATGTGCTACGCATTCTCCAACGCGCCTAGGCATGCTTCTGATCAGGTGGTCAATGTCCTCCGGTGGTATTTCATTCCAGGCAACCACCAACTCCTCTCGAAGTGCTTCTAGAGTCTGAGGAGGACGTTGAAAATTGAGCAATCTCCTACCCATCATATCCCACACGTGCTCAATTGGGGATAAGTCGGGAGATCTTCGTGGCCATGGTAACAATGTGACATCATTATGTTGAAAGAAGTCTAATGTGACTGTTGCAACATGTGGTCGGGCATTATCTTGTTGGAAAGTTGGATCTGCCAGGGTGTCAAGATAGGGCAAAAGATGGGGTTCTAGAACTTACTGGATATAACGCTGCGCGTTCATTTTACCTCTGATGAAGATTAAAGGTGATCTGGAACCATAAGCTATAGCAACCCAAACCATAACTCCAACAGTGTGATGAACATGTCTTTCAACAAAAAACTGTGGATTCCTCCTTTCACCACGTCGCCTTCTAACCCTGGCACGACCATCGTGCATGCCTAAACAAAATCGAGACTCGTCACTAAAGACAATACTATTCCATTCCTGATCCCAGAGTGACCGTTGTCTGCACACCTCAAGGCGATTACGTCGGTGTTCTCGAGTTAAAGGGAGGACCCAGTGTGGCCGGTATGAAAACAAGCCAAAACTTCTCATTCGTCGGTAAACACTTCGCATGCCAATAGGTCTTCCGTGTTCTGCAAACCATTCATTTGCAATGGACCTGGTAGTGGCGAAACGGTCCCTTAAGGCCAATAATCTTAGGCGGCGATCTTCACGGTCTGTTGTTCTACGGCGGCGTCCAGTGCCCCTTGCTCTTTGCGTACGGCCTTCTCGAAGCCATGCCTGACAACACCTAACCACAGTGTCTACACTTCTTTGCACTCTAATTGCAATTGCCCGAAAAGAAAGTCCAGCTTCCGGAAGTCCCACTATACGGCCCCTATCAAACTCACTAAGTTGACGAAATCGTACAGGTCTCTGTACTCTAGGCATCGTAACCGATCGTAAAGGATGTCAAGAACCAAAATCCGCCAACGTTGATTCTTTAAGGCGGCTGAAATATTCATTTTTAGAGTTTTGTGAATTAAAAAAAGCAGTAAATTTTTTCACTTGTTATTTACAGTAAGATAAATACATTCACCAACTTTTATTAAAATAAAACCATTTAAACTGGGTGTTCGGATTTATATGTCACTTAGTATATGTCCTGAACGTCTTAACTTCTGAGATACAGGTAGAGTTTTCAAAAGTGAATCATTTAGCACGCCACTGACTTTCCTTAAAATCAGCGCATAAAACAATAAGGGAGAATGTCTATGGTCAGAATTGTATACGTATAACTTTATTAATAAATCTACTCAGCTTTTCTTTAATTATAAATGAGGGGCCATTTCGTTGCCCTTCAAGAATATAATACCGTAGTAATACCCGTCTGTACATTTTTTTGTGAAATTCTAGATATCCTAGTTTAATAGTACGTGTCCACGACAAATGAAATGCTGAGGTGAACTATCT